AGCGTTCCTCTTTCTCCACAGCTGTGCCAGCATTTGTTATTGGTTGATTTCTTGCTAGCAGCCATTCTTTCTGGGGTGAGGTGGAATCTCTATGTTGTTTTCATCTGGATCTCTCGAATGACCAGTGATGTTAAACATTTTTTCACATGTTTATTTGCTGCTTTTACTTCTTTGAGAAATATCTGTTCCTTTCAGATGCCCATTTTTGAACTGGGAATAAACATATTTTAAAATCAAGTGTTTCCTACATAGAAACTTGGGGCAACCGGTGAGATATGTTCTGATGTCTATGACTGGTAACTGATTTGTGGTATTTTGCCATTGATCCAGGGAGCTCCAGGTCACCCTGGGAGTCCAGGTTTCAAGGTAGGTGGTCATGAGTAAGGTACATAAACAGAACCCACTTAATGAAGTAACTAGCATCTGGCATTTGTCAGACTTACATCTTTCCTCCTATCAGACTCCCCAAAGATTTGAATGAACTTCATTAAAAATCTTACTTGCTTTCTATTACTTTTTTAAAATTCAAAAGTGATTAGGTTTACTTTCTTCTCTTTTTCAGGGCAATCCTGGTGTTGGAGTAAGAGGGCAAATGGGGGACCCGGTAAGGATCCCGTTTTGCATGGAGGAGCAGATGTGACAGTGTGTGTGCAGTCTAGTCGCGGAGGCTGTCCTGATTAGTATTTAGCTCGTGTTCGCCATCTAGCCGCTGCCCACTTTCATGGCTGAGAACTTCTCTTGGCTGAGTTACTGTAGCCCCACTACCTTTACCTGTAAAATGATGGACAAAACTTAACACTAAACTCAATTTATACAATGCATTTCACTCTAGCAAGAAGAGATGTAGCACTTTTGACTATATGTATCTCCAGAGCAATGGTTTTGCTTAATTACTGCTTTGTCAGGCCCACTTTCCAAAATCTCATCAGAATCCTGAAGTCCATAGCCGAGTATAAGTGACAGGAATATGAGCACTTAGGAGCACGCTCCGCCTTTCCTCTACCCCTCCTCCTTACACCTCCCCTACTTCCAGGCCCTCCTCACTGTCCTCCCTTCCTCACATGTAGTCCTTCCTGCTGAAGCATGAAACTTACTAAAGATGCTCTTTAGAAAAGTGATTTCAGATGGTAGCTCATCTGAAACAATCTGAATGTCCAACAGCAGGTGAGCGCTCTTTCAGTAAAGATGGGCAGATAGCTACTGGGCATCTACTCTAAGCCAGGCTACGATTGGCACTGAGTGTGTGCACTTAGCAAGATAGACCCGACTCCTGCTCTTGTGGGGTCCTGGCACGGTCAGCTGTGGCATAGTCATTAGCAGGACAATGCAGTAGCCAAAAATGCAGGTGAAGACTTCATGATGTGGGGAAATGTCCATGATATAATGCTGATGAAAAAGAACAAGTTAAAGGCATATAACCCAACTTTGTAAGAGCAACGACAACAAAAAGACAGTAAAATAGCACTGAGAGAGGGAGTCTTCAACCTGAATGCTCCTGATTGTTCATTGTTTTAGGGGACTCTCCTGTGGGTTTCAAGATCTTTCATAGCACCTCTGTCTTTTACCCACTGGATGCCGGTAGCACCCTTTCCCCTCAACTGTGACAACCACAAATGTGTCAAGATGTCCACATGGGAACATCCCTGACAAGAGGCAGTTTCCAGTCACTTCCCTCCCCTTCTAACCTTGAGAACCACTGACTCAAATGACTGAATGAAAACACACTGACATAATCTTTGTCACACTCAAAAAGTCATGGGCCCCTGAGAATGTTTGTCAACACCGGAAGCCCACATCCCCACATAATCGAGACCCAGTGCCTCACAGGGCCAAGCAAGCATTGATGCCGTGTAGCCTTCAGTGCCAAGGCAACTGGACGCGTTTGCAAACTCAGGCCATAGAATGACGTGGATGTATTTGGCCATGAGGCGGCCTTTCCAGTGATCCAAAATACACTGGCATTAGTGCTTTTAGATGGTCAGACAAATGAAGCACCCTCTGGAATTTTGATACAGAATTTTCAGGTGTTCAAGAATATTTTAAGAAATATTCCTAATAACCCTATTTTAAACACTGCCCTAAATGATGGCTACTAGTTGTTCCCAGGTGATATGATTATGTACCTTTTTTTTGTATTAAATTCTTTTATTGGTACATTTTAGGTATACAACACAATTACATTTCTCACTGGGAATTGTACCTTTACATAATGCATCTTAGTTCTTATTTTTTCCCCATTCCTAGCCCTCCCTTCACACCCTCCACCCTTCCCTATTTACAAAGGCTTTATTTCCACTTTTTCCATTTCTCATCATTTTTCCTTTCCCTTCTTTCCTTTCCCGGCCCCTACCACTACCCCTACCCCTTTGGACCTTTTCTTCCTATTTTACATTATCGATTATTCATTCTAATCA